GTGTCTACGATCACTCAACAGTTGAACATTGAGAAGAGTGGGTAGTTATGCCGCCAACTAGGCGAAATTTTAAATAATATCTGCCATGACACCAACAAGTTTTTTTTAAAACTTTTCTTTTTCTTTTTTTTTTTCAAAGAAAGACATCCCTCACATCTTCGTTGGTTTCAGAAGTACTGACCTTATCTTTGACAATGACCATGACCACGACAATGACAATAATAACATCAAGGTCCTTTTAATCTCACAGAGATAAATTTGTCTTGGTCGTTTACATTGGCAGTGGATGTCACTAAGGTTAGGTGCATTAGTAGGTAGGGCCTACGTGTTGTAAGTGCTGAAACTACCCCGCTTCCTTTGAAACATGTCAAAGAATTCAACCGATGTTGTATGTGGTTTAGCGGTTAGGCGCTTCGCTGTCGCACGCAGGAGACCCGAGGTCGATTCCCGAGGTGATATAAAAACAAAACTGTTCGTCGTGAAAAGTAAAATCAATAGTTTTCGACAAAACGAGGACAGCTATAAGACTAGATCTATATATATAAGCTATATTTTGTCACATGAAATGCCCTTGAGTGACGTATGCCGTTGCGTCAATTTTGGTCTGACTTTTGAGAGCTTTGGTATTTGAACCTATTTCTTCCAGTCTTCTCTTTCTTTGGCCTTCGAGATCATTATTCGGACTCGTTTCATTCGACCCGCGACTTGGACACGCTTGCCTATGCCTGATGTATAGCATTGATATGTTCTATACCTGTATTATTATAAATGCAGTCATTAACACTATTTGTGCTGTAAACCCCGAGAGTTTACCTTTTTTAAAATAGTGAAACCAAACATTCACAGCGCAAGGCCCCTGAGCAGCAAGACGAAATCATAGACAGACATAGTAAGGGGGCTCTCGTGGCCTAGAGGTTAAGGTGTTGGCCTCTCATTCAAAGGTCCCGGTTCGAATCCGGGTAGCGATCGAAACAATTTCTTCTCTAAAATTGTCTCCTTTCACCCCCTTTCCTGCTCTCTAGCAATGTTCTGTCGACTGCTTTCGTCTCCTCTTTCTATCACCACCCCCTCACCCCCTTTGCCCCCTCCTCTGAGCTCTTAACTCTTTCTGCAGCCTTTCTACTGCTACTCCTTGGCTCCGCTCCTTCTTACTGCTGTCTTTCAGCCACACCCCTGATCTTCTGGTAGGAAAGATCTACACCTAGCCTTCTTGGACAAGGCCGAAAAAT